GCTGTATAGCTTCTGCTCACAATGTACAAAGTCTCAGTGTCAGCCCACAGTGACTTCCAATTTGACAGCAAGAATTTGTAACTGAGATATAAATAACTGCCTTACGGCACATTAGAGCAGTGTGATCCTGTATCCCTCCAGATGATGAAGGATTCTAAATTTCGATAATTCCTGGTGTAATCTTGGATTTAGAACCCAGCAACAACTAGTGGTTAAACATTAGTAAATCTTGCTTTCTCCTGATCAGGGCCTTTACGATTCATTTCTGGAAATGTTAAGGATCGAGACGGGGACTTTCCATGCAAAGTAGGTGAACATAAGCTCATCAGGGCCTTCCTTCTTAGGTTGCTTCTGTTTTCCACATGCAGGCCTGAATCTTCATATTCCAGTTTACAAAATATCAGGGAATATCAGGGTTGGAAAGACATCCGAAAAACTGCTGTTAGTCTGTCAGTACATTGTTGGAATGGATGAATTAGGGATGTACAGGTAGTCCGTGACTTACATCCACAATTGCTGTCGCTAAGCGAGACATTTGCTAAGTGAATTTTGCCCTGTTTTACGACCTTTCCTGCCACACTGATGAAGTGAATCACTGCGGTTGTTAAGTTAGTTACACGGTTGATAAGCGAATCGGGCTTCCCCCTTCACTTTGCTTGTCACGACAGTTGCAAAAGCTGATCCCATGAACCCTGAGGCACTGCAACCGTCATAAATATGAATCAGTTGCCCAGGGTCTGAATTTTGATCACTGACCTTGGGGATGCCGTAACGGTCGTAAGTGTGAAATGCAGTCATAACTCACTTTTTTTCAGTGCCGTTGTAACTTTGAACGGTCACTAAACGAACTGTTTGTAAGTCAAGGACTATCTGTAATGGTATATGGTAATTGAGTAGGTTCAACAGGGCACGCACAATCGTACGGTAGAGTAGGGGCTCTCCAACCTCGGCCACTTTTAAGACTTGCGGACTTCAACTCCCAGAATTCCCCAGCCAGCCATACTGGAGACCCCTGCAGTAGAATATCTACTCTGAATGCACAAAGCTGCTAGATTTAATTCATCTCCTTCCCTGTTTTCCCAGATTCTACAGAAGAGGCAGTGACTGTTGTCAGACACTAGTTGTTTGCAAGCTCTGTCCTTCGGATTACAGTATCCCCAAGATCCCTCAGCAACAAGATCACTGACAAAACTTTCTGGACCATATCTGACTCTTCCCCCATCCACCTTTCTCTTTGTGCTAACAACTGAAGAGGATTCGGTGCTTTCTAGATAATCTCTGTAAAAGAAAGTGTATTGCTATTGTATGTCATGATGTGATAATCGAGCACTAGACAGAGGAGCTGGGTGGTTTTGTTCCATGGCAGAATTGCCCAATTCCCTTTTGTATTTTCGTTTTGTCTCCTGCCTTAGTAATCTTCCAGTACCTGGAGTCAAGGAGGATTAATCGCTGCTGAATCTTTTCCAATTTACCATTATTCCCAAGGCACAGAACACAATATGGATGCCTTTGCTTTCCTCTCAGCTGCCATTTGAAGCCATGTCTATCGGGATTCTCAGCCATCCAGGTCACGGTTGTCCCAAAGGTGCTTTTTCAAGAGGCAACTGGGCTTCTCATCCAAGAAGCTTCTTCAGCTCCGACGGATAGTGAGGAATGGAAGGATTTATATTCCTCTTTTATACTTTTATACTCCGTTTACACTCCAGCTGTCTGCAAGGAGTATAAATCCTTCCCATTCCCCACTATCCTGTCAAGAGCTTCTTGGATGAGAAGCAAAACGTCTTCAAAGAAAAACCAGAAACTCCAGTTGCCTCTTGAAAAAGCACCTTTGGGACATTTGATCCCACATCGCATTAATCAGCACCACCCAAATATTGGCAGCATTTTATTAATTTCTATATTATAAGTTAGAGCAGAGAGCCTCAGCCACTAGTTAAACGACACCAGTTTTCATGTTCTTTGACCACTAGGGGGGTCCAGGAAAAAATGGACAGCATTTCAGCTGTGGTCTCAGGATGGCAGTGCTCAACACAAGGAATCAACTGCACATTTTCCGTTTCTTAAGATGCTGTCCTACTTTGGTGCATCCTTTCCGAGCAGCTTTGCTCAAGATGGTTTGGAAGTATTCCAGAACTTCCTATGCTGCTCTGCCTTTTTTTAAAAAAAAATTCAAACCAGATTGAGCCATTTCTTATTCTCGCTCTCTCTTTACCAGGGATTATGTTTGTCTGTCTAATCTGACTTGTCTAATCTGTCAGGGGCTTCCAATTCTTTGTTTTCCATCTCCTTGGACTGAGGTGGAAGAACAGTCTAGGCCAGGGGTGTCCAACCTTGGCAACTTTAAGACTTGTGGACTTCAACTCCCAGAGTTCCTCAGCCAGCTTCTGGGAGTTGAAGTCCACAAGTCTTAAAGTTGCCAAGGTTGGACACCCCTGGTCTAGGCAGTAGATCTTATCTTACAATCCAGAAAGCTCATGATGATATTAGTTTATCTGAAATCTCTCTTTGATTTGTGCAGTGCTTACCTCTTCCTATATGAAATTTGGCACAGTTGTTTCTCAATAAATGGTCTATGATTGTTTCACCTTTCTGAAGGCCAGCTCATGTACCTGAGCTTTTCTGTTTCATCCCCCTACTCTGCAAATCCCTTAAATATCAAGACTGCTTCAATCCTAGTGGGACTATTCATCCATGTAACCATGTATCCCTTTATGTAACCTCCAACCATGCGAAAGACACAGATCAGAATCCCAGAGCTTTATAGCAGTCCCAAAATAATAATAATTATAATGCAGAATTGAATATTGCAAAGACAAAGACCCCTAAATAGTCTGTTCTGTTCCTGTTCACACACAATGCAGGTAGTCCTCAACGTACAACTGAAATGGAGCCCAACATTGCTAAGTGAGAAATCTGTTGAGTGAGTTTTGCCCCATTTTACAACTTTTCTCACCACCTTTGTTAAAGTGGATCACTGCAGTTCTTAAATTAATAGCAGTAAATCTAGCTTCCCCATTGACTTTGCTTGTCAGAAGGTCACAAAAGGGGATCACGTGACTCCGGGGACGCTGCAGTGGTCATAAATGTGAATCAATTGTCAAGCATCTGAATGCAAATCACGTGACCATGGGGGTGCTGCAGCGGTCATAGGTTACTTTTTTTCAGTGCCGTTGTAATTTGGAACAGTCACTAAATGAACTGTGCTGTTGTAAGTCGAGGACTACCTGTATTTATTGATCATGTTTTGGAACAGAGGGAACTCCGGGCAGTGTATAATTAAAAAATATCTCTGGATTGATGAAATCTCTACATTTGGCCCAGAAGATGCCACAGGAAATTCTTAATGAGAATACAACAGCTATATCTTCCTGACAATTATAATAGACTTCCCCTGTTGGAAGGTGCCTTATTAGATACATGATTAATATTTGATGACAGAGCGAAAAGAGATCCAAATGATTTTCCCGTATCAGGATAATTAATACAAAAGGCTTGAATCTTGCTTTTACACGTTTGCTGTTTCTTTCACCATGATCTACACATTTGGAAATACTATTCTAAGAGAAAAGTTAATCTCAAAGGTTTTTTTAGAAAACCCTTACTCTTTATATCTCATTTATATCTCAACCCATTTGACTTTGGTCTTCCCTTCTTCTCCTTTATAGTTTAGAATAGAATAGAATAACAGAGTTGGAAGGGACCTTGGAGGTCTTCTAGCCCAACCCCCTGCTTAGGCAGGAAACCCTACACCACTTCAGACAAATGGTTATCCAACATCTTTTTTAAAAACTTCGAGTGTTGGAGCATTCACAACTTCTGGAGGCAAGTCGTTCCACTGGTTAATTGTTCGAACTGTGAGGAACTTTCTCCTTCGTTCTAGGTTGGATCTCTCCTTGGATAGTTTCCACCCTTGTTTTGCTTCTTGTTTTGCCCTCAGGTGCTTTGGAGAATAGCTTGACTCGCTCTTCTTTGTGGCAGCCCCTGAGTTATACAGGACTGTTTATATAGGACTTTTTTTTTTTAAAAAAAAAGGCATCACTCTTATTGCTTCTATTCCAAATTGATTTTACTCATTTCTTTATCTGTCTGTCTGTCTGTCTTAAATCCTGGATTCTGCATGTAACTCAGAACAATTTTTCCCCAAGTTGCAAACCTAAAAAAAAGCAGCGCCTCCAAAATCTTTTGCCAAGCGTCATACCACTTCATAAAAACAGGCCTTTAGCAAATTGCTTTGCACAGAGCCTTTGCTTCTGTTTTTGGAGAAGCCGGAAGAATAAAAGGAAATTGGAGAGAGCATATTGCTGATCATTAGAGATAGCTCTATCTTTTGAGGTCCATTATTTTCAATGGTAGAAGACCTTTGATTCCACTGAACGATGCCCATGGAAACAAGCTGGGAAGGCCATTCCTTTTCCTGGCCTTCATGGCATCTCCTTCTGTTTCTGTAACAATGGATATCTTCTGTTTTCTTGGTAGCGGATAAGCGGTTGGTTTAGACCTCAGGAAGAGCTGCTAAGTTCTAATCCCTGTTTGATAATGGAGTTTTCTGGAGGATCCTCTAGCTCCTTTCCTCCCCCCCCCCCCCCCCAAACTTTCCTTGAGAATCTTATTCATGTCACTCAGCTCCTTGGGAGAAAGAACAGGATAAGATATTATTTTTCTGGGAATAAAAGTCTTACGTATTCGCAATCTGGGGTACTGCTTAGATAGTGAAAGTTAATGCCTTCTAACAGATCTTCTAAAAAAATAACCAGAGCAGGTTTAATTCCTTTGGAAAGATGATCAGGTAGTTTTTGCAAGCCTCTGAAATTTACACCGCAGCTGATTTTAGGCACCCAATAACTCAGATCAACAGCTTCAAACTTCATTATCTTTTTGAAGGCTTGGCAACTAAGGTTTTTTTCCCCCTCCTTATTCATCCCGCACTTTTGTCATTGGAGCTGACAGTAAAGAAATTGAGATGTCTCCATATTTACTTTAATCTTTTTTGCCTCCTATAGGGGCTCTACCTCGGCAGGGGAGGGCTTGGGTGTTGCAGGGAAGAACAAAGAGGATACCTTTGCTACGTTCCGTCAGAGAATGATCCAGATGTACTATATGAAAAGAGCCAATAAATAGGTAGGTGTGTAAAATGGAGCCAGTTGTTTTCATTTTAAATGGTTGCAAGGGTTAAAAAAAAATATCCATAAGAGATTTTCTTACTTTTCACATTGTTGGTTCATATTGAAAATCCAGAGTGACATTACTGATATTATATTCTGATGGCTAGGATGCCTTTATTACTGTTTGGTCTTGCAAGAAATTGATTTCCATTTTGGATCTTTCCCGGTTCCCCCTCCCAGCATGCAAAAAGCCGTAAAATTAAACATCTCCGGTATCCTAAGAGAAGATACCTGGCCTTCAGAAGCAGGAGCAGTCCACCTTTTCATCAAAAGTCATCTAGGGCTTAGCAACAATTTATAACGATCTCCCCAATCAAATCCCCTTCAAATGTTTTAAGCTGTAATTCCTAGCAACCTCAATCGGCATAGATAATGTTGACGCTATGGCTAAATTATGGTTAGGATTGTGAGGCAATACTTCCTGTTGGGACCTAACAGGGGAAGCCCCCTGTATTTATTTTGAACCATGTAGACTGGATTAAACTTGGTCCGAATAGGTGAAATTCCTCCATTTTTTCCCCTCAAGGTCAGAATGACAATTTTTACCATTTTTAATATGAATTCCTGGTATGCATCGCCCCTGGGGGTATAATTAAATTTGGCAAATTCTGTTATTTTAATCAATTCTGGGGTCCGGGAAATTGCTTAGGAAAAATTTAGCAGCAGACCAAACCATTATCTTAGCATCAGTTTCATGAACTTGTTTTGGGGACCTTTACCAACAATCTGTGGCTCTGGCCTCCTCCCCAAATATGTGCAGTATTTAAGCCAGCCTGAATGTCTTTTGTTCACATTCTTGGATTGTCTTTTCTTAACTTCCACGATGGTACCTAGATATTCTTGGGAAGCTTTCTTTGTATGTAGGGGATAAAGCTGTTTGGAATTTGCATGTCTATTTTATATTTTGTTAAATAAATATGATTACAATTTGTTGAAGGTGACGAGTGGACCTATTCAGGTAACATCTCTTTTTTTCCATGAGTCTTTCAAAGCAGCCATAAATATGACAAAGACTTACGTTAATCAAATAACGTCTTGTACCATAAAGATTCTTATGTGTAAAATCCATCTTAAAAACTGATTATCGACGGCATTCGGATTTGAATTTAGAATTCTTGCAGATTAATCATACTTCTTAATTCATATTATCTGGAGTTCTGGGTAGCATGTTTGCCATCAAATTTGTCCAGTCTTTCAGTTTTTCTATTATTGTCTCCAGAAGATGTCTTCATCTTGTTGGTATTACCTTTTTTTTTTTTAAATTTCAATTCTCACAGCCATGGAGTTTCTTTTCCCACCACATTCCACTTTGGGGTAGGGTTTGAAATATGCATGATTCTCCACACTTGTTTTCATTAAAAAAAAAAAAACTTGTGATAGATAGCATATATTGCAGTATCTTGTTTGGTATTCTCCTAGCTACTTTCTTGAGACAAGCTTTAGAGCTCCAGGAAATGCCAAATAAAATCATGGCATAGAATAAAAGCTTTGAAGATCATGCTAGCAAGCAGCCAATGACCTTTTCCATCACTTTCTAAGATGTTCAGAAGCCATTGATACAAACCAGCTGCTTCATTACTTGAATCAAAAGATTTGCAAGTACATTTGAATTCTTGGAAGAATTCTAAGTAATTCCCATCCTTCAGGCTTTTGGGGTCCAATCCTATCAAATGGACACTGCCTTGAAGTCTAGACACCATCCTGATATCTTTTTCTTTTCTAGCTCCTTATTTTTAGGGCTGTTGGTTTCTCTTTCCTGTACACAGCAGAGCATTGCCTATGTTTGCCTGCTATCAAAGCTACTAGTTTGATCTGTAAGCTTGAAATACTCTACAGACATGCAACTTCTACTGGGGTTAAACCATCATTTTTTTTAAAAAAAGGTTTTGTTTAATGGTCAACTTTCCTATTCTTTCAAGTTGCTTAAAAACATTTTCTCTCTCAACTTCAGAATTTGCTACCATTTTGAGATGAAATTACACTGGGAGGGGGGCGCTTTCTCAATCCAGTTTTTCTGTGCCCATTGTGGGCCAAAACTGAGCTGTCATTTCTTGGGAGGCATCAATTGTGGGCCAAAACTGAGCTGTCATTTCTTGGGAGGCATCAACTGAAGGCTTTATAAATCTCCAGACAGGGGAAGTGATGGTTTCTTTGAACCCAGTTTTGATGAGGGTGACCCTGCTGATTTCAGCTTGTTTCAGAGCTGCCTGGGTATATCATGAACACTTGAACATTTTAAAATACGAACTCTCTTATTTAGGGTGGCGACAAAAGGAGAAAAACATTTACCTCCAACACTCCCAGATGATTGCGATTCTAATCAGTCTTCCTTGTATGAAGATTTGATATGAGATAAAAATGACACAGCAGCAGCACTGATGCTTTTAAGGTGCTGCTTTTCGATCGATCCTCTGTTAGATATTTGGGTTTCTTACAAAGCTTCAGGGTTTTTTTTGTTTCTTTGTTTGTTTGTCTGTTTTCAAACCTGCTTTTTAGCAGGCAACATCTACCAGCAAAAAACTTTAATGCATTTGCAAAAACTAAAAACGTTTTTTTAAAAAAATTCAGTTTCGATCTGTGTCAGTTCACTACCTTTTCTGTTATTCTAGTTTTCCAGGCTCTCTGATACGAAGATCAGAAGCATCCAAGAACCTTTTTCTCTCCCGTCACTCGGGGGTGTGTCTCTCTTCTGTGTCACTTTTGGTTTGGAATGTGGCATTTTTGAAGTCCTCAGTCAGATTTTTTTTTTCCTTTCTTCTTGTGAAACTTATCAGTATTGAACAGTAATGAATAGCAAATTGTTAGTCAACGATTGATCTTAACATTTCTTTTAAAATATCTTAATGGCATGTAATCCTTTTACCAAGATCTATAATAAATAAATAAAAAATCAGTAGAAAAAAAGCCAGCTTTGTTTCCATTCTTGCGTCTTGATATATTGTACAAATGTGGGATCGTTACTACAAATAAGTGCGTGTCTTGTGAAGGGAAGGTATGCTTGGGGAAAAAGTGGGTCAGATTTACTATTTGAGAAGACAGAAGCAGCAGCAAAAAGATGAATCTGGTGGGGTTTCTTAGATGAAGGCAATCTGTCCTTGAATGGTACCAAGGATGTCTTTGAAGAGCATGCCTCAGATCCTTCTCCCAGAAGAAGGAATATAATCATACAGCTTTTCTTCCTGTCTGGATATCTATTTCAGACTTAGCTCATGTTCTATTAATATTGATAGTAGCTAAACAAATAGATTTGAGTAGTTCACACTCATGTGGCTTTCCTCAAAAAACCTCTCATTTCTTACTTTGATGGATTAGTTCATAAAGTTTCTCGGAGAACCGGTTAGCACAACCAATCTTATAAATGCCATGCATAAGAGGCAGATGATTAAATGCAGTAATTAATGACACTGGAGAGCTAGTACACTCGTATATCACTCTGCTGCTAGAGGCTGCTCTAATTGTGTCTAGTGGGCTGGGGGTGAGGTGAACAGCTTGATTCTTAAACTCAATAACACACTACATTGTCTGGATGGTTAATTTGTGACTCAGTGTCAACCAGGTTAATCCTAACCATTGTTAAGCATATTCATCTCACATATACTAGCATGTTAAGTGGCTCAAGGTGACTCAGTGCATCATCTGAACTTGGAACTTGGTTTGTTTCTCTAGCAACATGATGACCATGTACAGATTAATAGGGTTGTAAGAATAAGACACGCACCTATAGCAGAAGCACGGAGGTATTATATATTCCTATCTTGACCACTGCCTTTTTATGTTCTTGTTTTGGGCCTTTCTGTGAAATACTGCCCTCCTAGATGAAGAAAGGCCTGTTGAGACAAAGCTAAGATTTATGGGCTTAATCGGAGTCACCTTGGAGCAGAGTGTTCACTTGTGTGTTTTAAATTCAGCATATCCAGCACTTCAACTGCATTATATGTGCCATCTGATACACATGAGAACTGCAGCATGTTGCTAGAGGTACAGATGCACGACGTTTTAGAACCAGTGTGCTTTCAAATTCCAATCAAGGAAAAAAGACAGAAATTGTCACATTCTTCTTTTACCCAACTGACTTTTTTCTGGTTACTTAAATTGGAACAAATTCTTTAATTGTTGATAATATGAGGTTGGTTTTTTTAAAATGGTCTTCTGAACAAAATTACTTTTCCAACGTATGTATGCCATGCAAGGTGAAATTTTGAAAATGGGCCTTAAGAGTTGTCTGGCTTAATACTGGAACTTGCTCATCACATAACAACCATAAGTCTTAGAACTGTAGGTTCTAAGGGTGACGTGACCTAATCTAAGCTCCCAGAAGGTAGCCATCAAGGGACCAGCCTGCATATCTTCATCATCTGCTTCAGAACCTCTTCCAGGTCAGTGGACAATTTTGCAAATGGATTTCACCTTCTCTACATAGTTCAGTTCCTTCTCCTATGGAAACTCGGAACATGTTGTGGGGGAAAAAGAAGAGGAAGAAGTATTGGATATGTTCACAGCCTAGAGTTAATTGTAAAAATGATAAAGGAAATGAATGAATGAATGAATGAACAAATGTTTCCTATCAATGGGTTCTTCTGCGTAAGAGAGATACTTGTGAGGGTTCAGTCAATAGGAGCAAGATGGACCCTATAAATATATTTTAACCAAAGACAGGTAACAAACATTTCAAATCCCAAGAGCTGCTGCTTTCCCAAATATCGAGACAGTTAACAGATAACAGACAATCAGAGTTGGAAGGGACCTTATAGGTCATCTAGTCCAACCCTCCACCCAAGCGGGAGACCCTACACCATTTCTGACAGTTGAAAATCAGCAATTGCTCAACTTGTTATATGCTCACAGAAGAAGCTATTATATGTGTCATTGGATGAACCATGACTTTGGCCTTAGTTGTTCACCTCAAAAAGCCCAATCTATGTAGTCCAACGAGACATGAATCTGAATTCCTCAAAATGCAGGTGGAATGTAATGAGTCCTCGTGATACAGTGGTTAGAATGCAGTATTGCAAGCTAACTGCCCACAGCCTGGTGTTTGAGCTTGAGGTTGATTCAGCCTTCCAAAGTCGATAAAATGACCCAGATGTTGTGATATGATGACATTGTAAACTGTCTAGAGCAGGGGTGTCCAACCTTGGCAACTTTAAGACTTGTGGACTTCAACTCCCAGAATTCCTCAGCCAGC